CACACAACTAATAATAATAACTCTGATTTTGTCAAAAGTGAAAGGAAGGAGAGAATTGTGGAACAAGAGACTAATTCTAGTTTAGTCCCAGTAATCACTTTCAGCTTTATATAGAACAATCTGCTGAACCAATCTATATGTGGAATAAGAGACGGCTTCTTTCCTGTAGTGCGGGGGTCCTCAACTTGGCAACTTTAAGACTGGTGGACTTCGCCAAGGTTGAGAACCCCTGCTGTAGTGTCAGAGCTAGTAATAAGAATCCAACTGGGGAAATGTAAAGCCTGAGAAGCTCTGATTTCACCCGTGGAAATACTTTATAAGAGAAATTCTTACATACATCTTCCTATTTCCATCTCTCATGTTGAAGTTTGAAAGGAAAGCTCTGTAAGATTGGATTGCTTCACATTTGGTCCATGTTGCATCTCAAACATATTTCTTGTTACAGGGCATTGAAGCTACTTGGTTCACACCTAACTCTCAGCCAAATCTCTCATGATTTGTCAACCCACCCATTTTTGCCCAGCCCATTATAAGAGCACTATATGTATTTATTTAACTGTACTGGATTATTTAGTAAAGTCCCGGTACTGTAACATCTGATATGGACCTTGTTGTCCCAGGTGACGATTGATCCAGTACAGGATTCTATTCCTGTTTTCTCACCATATTACATGGATTAGTGGATAAACTTAGTCTGGCTCTTCCCTTAAGATCTGTCTGGTATGCATGACTCTTCTGGTAGAATACATCGCTACCAGCACAGCTCTCAACCTTATTAGAGTATCAAAAGACCATGTCAAGAGCATACCCATGAAGGTTTATTATTATTATTATTATTATTATTATGGTTCGTCTCACAGTCAGCCAGATGTTTAGAACTGGCTTTGGCATTTTTATCCACCTATCAAGTCCTTCCCAAGGATCTGGTGTAGGCAGATGTTTGATAGTGTTAAAGGTATTGTCACAGGATGCAAGCTGTTCCAAGTAAAGCTCTCTTTTACAATTGACTGATAGTGATGTTGATGGTATTCAGTGGTGCTCCAAATGTTTGGGGATTGTATCCAAGGCACATATTACTGTTGGTACAAACTTTGCCTTTTTTGCCATAGTCATTTTACTTCTGTTTTCTGTTGTCCCTTTTTAATTAGAGGGTGGTGTTATTATTTTACTACTGAAATGTATATGATATTCTGCTTTTGCTAGTCAAGAGTCAGTTAGATTGACCCTTGTGTAACACAATGTATATTTATACTCTCAATATATTCTATATGTACACAGAGAATGGAAGGTATAATTAATAATACTGTATGCATTATATTTCATTCTGGAGTATTGACACAAATTATTATATTTGGCCGTATTCTTTGAGTCGGCCAATATTATCTCCATTAGCTCCATAAGAATTGGAGCCAAGGTTTTTATATCAGAAGTTTGATTTGAACTAGGGACTTTCAAATGCAAAGCTCAGTCTCTTAGCTATTACAATACACCATATCTCATTTAGACTATGTTTGGTACTCTGAGTCATGATCCTGTTCTGCTTCTGGGTCACTGCATCAAAAGTGAGATTGGATGCCTTGTAACAGTACACTCCAGCATGCTAATTGCACTTGGGCAACTCCTGCCATAGAAATGGGATACCAGATCCATTAGGCAGACACTAAGCATTCAGAAAACATGCAGCACATTATCTCACATGCATAATAGACAGGGATGCCTATTAGCACAACACTTGGTCAGCTGCAAAGTCTCAGCACTTTTTTTTTGTCTGATTAACAAATTAGGGTCCAATAGGTAGAATTTCTTTCAACAGAGTCATAAAAAACAACAGCAACAACCTGTCTACATTGCTAAAACTGCTAAGCTTAAAAGTATTTGCAAAATGTTTCAGCACATTCACTAATCCAAACACTTCATGCAGCACTTATACAGTGTTGGCTCTTAGGTACATTTAGGTAATTAAATACATGATTTTCAATATGTCTTTTTTTTTTTAACAAGATTTTATTAAGTTTATATAGATGAGGAAAAATAGGAACAATACAGGTATGGTAAAGGGAGGGGTGGAAGGAAAGGGGGAGGGGAAGGAAATAAGGAATTAGGGTAAAATAAGGATAGGTACAATCACATATTTCAACAAACAAGCTACCGTCTGAATCATAATAATGGGTAAATATCATATTCAACCATTTCTAGCGAAGGTTAGACTGTAACATATTAAAAACAATTAATAAACAAATACGTTGATCTATTAAGTAAACACTACTAATAAAATCTCAAAAAAATCCTAACAATCAAAAATAACAGATGAAAATCAGCAAATCAGGAAAAATAATCATATCATCAAAATGTTAGTTAGAACTCGATTAAAAATCAGTCATCTATTCTAAAATATTGAATCCTTCAAGTTCTAACGTGTCTCTAACCATTGATAAAATTTTTCCCATGTTCTAAAATAAATTGAATCATCTTTTTCTTTCATTTCTAATGTTAGTCTATCCATTTCTGCACACTCTAAAATTTTGGTAATTATAATCTGGTCAGATGGTAAATTCTCATTTTTCTAAAACTGGGCAAATACTATCTTTGCAGCAGTTAAAACATGCAATATCAAGTAGTCATTCTCTTTACCATAATTAGGTCTTAATATTCCTAAGAAAAACAATTCCGGCTTAAATTCTGTCTGTAGTTTCATCATCTTTTCCAACCATCTATGGATCTTAGACCAATATTTCTTAGCGATAGGGCATATCCACCAGGCATGGTAGTAAGTGCCTGGCTGTTGTTTACATTTCCAGCAGATATCCGAAACATTTTTAAACATTTTAAACATTTTCAATATGTCTTAAATCAGCATCGATTAGCATTGATTTGTACTACTGATTATTTTTCAACATAGTGATACTTTCAGATTTAGAAATATTTTGTAATAAGTTTTATAATTTTTAGAATAGGTTATACTATATATTGTGATTTCTCGGCTATTTTTTCTTTCCATTCAATCATGTCCAATTCTTGGAGTGCCTGGACAAGTCCCTGCAGTTTTCAGAAGTGGCTTGCCATTTCTTCCTTCCTAGGGCTGAGAGAATGTAATGTAACTGGTCGAAAGTCATGTAGCTGGCTTTGTGCCTAAGGCAAGGCTAGAATTCATTTTCCTGGTTTCTAGTCTGATGCCTTAACCACTATACCAAATTGGCTTTCGTTTCCAGCTATACTATTATGCTAAACTCTTTATGGTTGCACCTCCTCATGTAGACCTGCTATGCAATTTGAAGGTCGCCCTAGACTCACAACACCTGCTTCATGAGCAGCTGGCAGTTGTGCCTGGGAGGGCCTTTGTATAGCTTTATAGTTGTGCACTTATTGCACCTGTTCCTGGATCAAGAGGCTCTGCTCACAGTCACTGATGCCCTAGTCTAGGGGTCCCCAGCCCCTGGTCTGTGGACCAGTACCGGGCTGCAGCATGCCAGTAACCAGTACGCACAAACAAGTAAAGGCCCATCCGTGGGATGCAGGCAGCACACAAAACCACGTACCCTCCAGTCCGCTGAAAAACCTCTCTCTCCCCAGAACCAGTCCATGGTGCCCAAAAGGTTGGAGACCTCTGCCCTAGTTGCCTCTAGATTGGACTACTGTTATGCCCTCTACGTGGGGCTCTCTTGAAGAATATCCAGCAGCTTCAACTGGTACAGAGCAGTTATGTGTGCTCTGCAAGCTACATTGGCTGTCAGTTGGTTCCAGGTCCAATTCAAGGTGTGCTTTTTCACGTTTAAAGCCCTTCAACTATTATGGCTACCCATCTCACAAATGCAATTCTGGGCAGCTAATAGAGTCAAACAATACAATATAAATACAACATAAAATACATTTTTTGTTATTTGATATGATTATTACACTGAACATTTTAAAAAGAACTATAATTGACCTAGTGTATCTTAATGATTATATTTGACTTGTAGTTGGATTTGGATTTGACTTGTACTTCAAAAATGTCTGTGAGCAGTTTCTTTTTGAAAAATGTGATATGTATATAAATGGATGATCTGTAAATAAGTATTGCTTCTTGTGAACTGGAAATAATGATTCCATTAATGGAGCCTTAGATCATATTATACTCTTTTACAGTTGTATAACACCACTAATTCACATTTAGCTTGTGACCTAAGATTCATTTCTTACTAAGTTGATTACCTTATGACCTAAGATTCATTTCACACTAAAGTCAGCTACCCCATTATATACCCCTGTGTTTGATTCCCTGCTGCCTCCCAAAAAAACAGAATTTTCTAGTTTGTTATATTTCAGATAATGTTTTATTCTATTATGGTAATTTGGAATATTATTACAGTACTATCTTCTGAAGTGTTACTTATTTTTCCTAGTTTTCTGTCCTATGCAAATGTGATAATTTTCTCTGCTTCATTTAAGTAACTGATAAAAGATATTGTAAAACTATTGGTTTTGCAATACTCAAAACCTCTTTTCAGACTAATAAGAAACTAATTAATGATCATCTCTTGAATATGCTTTTCAGTTAACTGTGACACTTTAGTCTTAACAATGCTATAAATTATATTTTACCAAATACATTCGATTGCATTATCAACTGAATTGCTGAAATCAAGATAAAGTAGACCACTAGCATCAATAGAGCTCATTAATCTAATTACCCAATCAAAAGGTATGATTAAGAGATAATCTGGGCAAGGTCATGCTGGTTTCTGTCTTGCTATTACCAACTTCTTATTACAATTCTTACTAATTACTTTGCCATGATTTAATTATCTTCCTTAGTTCTGAAGTCATATTCCAATATTCCATTCTTGAATATAAGAAAATTTTTTGCTTCTCCCTCATGCTTGTAGCTTTCATCCTGTTTCTCCTGAGAGTACTTCAATAAGTATTTTTATGCTGCCAGTATCATTTTTGCCATATAATAGATTGATCATTAATCATTTTTTTTATTTTAAATGTTTCTGTAAAATATTATTTTAATTCAGGAACTTCCATGTCCTTTGCCGAATCTCTCTGACAAGGAAATGGAAGAAGTAATAACTATGAAGTCAACGGAAGATTCTCAGGAGTCCATGAGAATAGCTTGGCGTTACCAGAACAAACCAAAGCAGGAGGTAAATAATATTTTACAATTTTATTGTAAACCATCAAGATTTTAAAGGGAAATTCTACATTAACAAACATAAAACAATGTTTGAATAATCTCTGAACATTGTACATGAGGGATATGATGTCAGTATAGAGCATTCTAAAACTTTTTTTAAAATGAATATTCTTTGAACAATCTTAAAAGCATTCTGTGAATTGCTGTTGGCTTTGGATCAGTTTAGTTTTGCTATCCAAACTAATATTTTATTCATGGATTGAGAGGAAATGTTGACTTTGAATATTACACTGAAATAATTGGGAAAGAACTCAGTACAAACCTTTTCAATAAAAATTGACAGTGCACATGAGCTTTTAGCATAGAGGTTGTTGAAAGTTGTTTAATATAACATTGTTGAAGTTGACTAGTAGTACTCGCAAAGAACAAGAGCGGAGGTCAAAATGAACCAAATAGTATGCTTATTCTAATCTATCTTAATCTGTTAAAAGAATGAATTAAAGATTAATGTAAGGATAGATCAGTGATGGGATTCAAATATGTGAATAACCAGTTCTCTGTGTGGATGCTGCTTCCAGAAGTCCATTCTGGGCCTGGGCAACAAAAAATTAGCTACCGGTTCTTCCGAACTAGTGCGAACTGGCTGAATTCCACCACTGGGATAGATGATGTTGAAGCCATTTAAAACAGGGTGAAAAGATTTATGTTACAGAGTGCCATGGAAGTGCATGCAAGTATTATTAATGGAAGTATGAAAAATAATTCTTGCTAAAATGAGGGGGGAAAGCATTAAAACAATTGCTGCAAAAATGAAAAGAAGAGATAAGCTTGAATTGTAAAATGTTTTCCATGAATATGAAGCTGAAGATTGGTTACTGAATGTTAATAATAAGGTATATGAGAGAATAAACTAAACGCTTAGCAAATTATTCAACACTGGGCAGAAAATTAGACAAGAATGTATGATATTTCCTTGGTTGTTTAATAGATGGATCAGTGAATGTATAAGATATATTTCTAGTCACCTTAGATGTATGTTGATTGGGACCTGGATGTGTGTATAGTTTTCATACAGCTAATGCTATATTGCTGATTGAGATCCCAAATTATTTTCAGTGAATGTTGGATGGATTATATGATGCAATAAGAACTTCAACATTATTATATGCAAGATCATAGTTGTTAGAAATTATAAATAAATGGGAAAAGGAAGCAGATAAATGAATTTGTGTAAATAGGAATGTTTACTGAAGATGGGAAAATTAATGAGAAAAAATTGTGCAAATGGTGACATGATAAACGGATGGTATAGGATGATCTGTTGCAAGGAAAATATTTGTTAAAACAAGCAAAACTCTATAAGAGCATGTTTCTTCCCTCTTTATTATATGGAAGTTGGAATTTATGTGAGGAGAAACAGAAAGAAATAGTATTCTAGGGGCATGAGGTATTCAAGAAGTATGTGAGGTAAAGCTACGGGAGGTACAGTCAATAATTAAAGAGTAACAAATAAAGATGTTGAATACAAAATGACCATTTTTAAAAAAACAGCGTTTAGGTAGTTTAGTAATAAGTAAAATGAATGATGACTGAATCATAGAACATATATGTAAAGAATTAATAGTTTATATGAGTGTTTTTAGTTGCCTACACACACACACACACACACACACACACACACACATTTAGACAGAAACTGTCTATTTGGACCAGAACAAAGCCAGCATTTGAGTAAGTAGTATTGTCAGTCCACTAATACAGAAAACTAGTTATTCACCCACATGTATGATCCACAGAGAGCATGATTTTAACTGTCTTAGGTTGGTCATTAATAATACTCTCCTCATTCCCATCTATGGATTTATTTTTGTTCTTTCCCTGATGTAGAGAGGGCATCTCTGACAGTGACTGGAAATGACAAGAGTTACACATTAGGCACTGAGAATAGTAAGAGGGAAGTCAAGTTTTCACTAAAAGTTTGTGTTTTGGCATATTTTAGAATGAAGTTTTGTAGAGGCAATGCAGACATGACCAAATAATTTCATTTGTACCGGCTTCCCTCCAGGGTTTCCATAAAGAATTAGGATTTAATGACTCTCTTAAAACATAACAGGATTTCACTAAAAAAAAAAAAATCATAGTCAAATATTTAAACTAAAAAAGAATATATTGTTGTAGTATTCTCCTATAAACTTCCCATTTTGTTTTATTGGTTTTATTATTCTGATATAAATCAGATTCAATTTTATTCTAAAAAATAAAATTGAAATAAGACAAAGTAGTTTTATATGGCTTGGCAAGTTTAATTTTTTATGTGGCTGTACAAAGCTGATTAAACATTTCTATCCAAGAAATGATCTGTACATGATAAAATGCCAAGAACACCGGACAATCATATAATCTTAACTGCATTATTAATAGGAAACTTCTGATGAGTACGACCCTTGTGTTCACTCCTGAACCTCTGTCTGGAAAATTAAATAGCAAATTAACTGCAGTTCCTAAATGACCTTGGAGACTTTATCTCTGAATATATACTGCTTTATATCATTGTTTTTCCATCTTTGTTCCTCTCATTCTCTAGTTGTTTCAACCTTTGCACTTTGTTCAGCTAGAATAAAAACTTCAAGCAAGAGCTTTTTAAAATCCTTCTTTTCATAGCACTCATTACTCCCAAAGATCAATGAAATTCTTAAGGGTGATGCTCTATTAGTTACAAAGTTGCATACCAGGGTAAATATACATAAATGAAAGTGGTGTGCATCTCTGACCTAGTATCTATTCCTGTATTCATAGCTGCTTTTACTATCCCAGTTTTCATCCACATTTAATCAGTCTAAATTATATTCTGTTTTTCAGATGCATAAAGAGCAGTCAGAATAGACAAATTCTAATGTTTTGCTTCCTTTTGATTTTATTATTTTATATTTTAGACTATGGCAAAATAACGCTAAGTGAAATGATTTGAGCACTACTTTAATTTGCCCTGAATGCTTCAAGGTCCAAAACTTGAACTGAAAGACAGTTGAAAAAATTAAGAGTTAGGGTTAGAGATAATTCAGTTCAATGTATTGTATTTGATTTCTTTTTTCTTTTGGTCTTTCTTTGTTATATACTGTGTGCAGGTAGACACACAGACACACAAACACATACTGTGCACACATATCCTTACCTCTATGTTTGTTTGTTTGTTTTGCAGGTATTTTATAGACTACTTTTTATTAATGTCTAGTTTCCTGTCACCGTCTTCTACTAAATTTTGTTGAAGCAGCATCACTTATCCTGCATCCTCTGATCATCTTGTAGGGCAAAGTTCAAAGGCTATTTTGTAGAGCCAATACTGTCATACTGTACAAAATAACATCAACTATAGTTAGCATTTTTAAATATATATATAATAAAACAATCACAGATAATCAATGTAATTATCCTTGATTAGAGGTACTGCAGTGGTAAATGCTTCTTTGAGAGTAGTTCTCCCGACTCTTAAAGACATCGTGGTTTATCCTTTTTGTGAAGTCAGCCTTCAGTTCCAAAGTGTCTTGGAGGAAACAGAATAACAGAGTTGGAATGAACTGCTCAAGCAGGAGACCCTATAAAATTTCAGACAAATGTTATGCAATCCTTAATGGAGCACCCGCCTCTTCTAGAGGCAAACCATTCCACTGATTAATAGTTCCCACTCTCAGGAAATTTCTCCTTAGTTCTAGGTTGCTTCCCTTGTTGAAAAGTTTCTATCTGCTACTTCTCGTCCTGCCTTCTAATAGGTTGGCCCTCTCTTTGTGACAGCCCTCAGATATTGGAAGATTGCTATCATGTTACCCCTAGTCCTTCTCTTCGTTAGACTAGATATACCCAAGTTCCTGCAACCCTGGCCCTTGAGCTCCTACAGCCCTGCCTAGCCCAGCTGCACTTCCCCAAGGGGGTGCCCAGCTGTGTTTACTTCCTTGAGGCTGCTGCTGCTGTGCTTATTCTCCTTGGCCAGGTTGCTCATGGTGGGTTGTTGTTGTTAATTGCGAAGTCGTGTCCGACCCGTCGCGACCCCATGGACAATGTTCCTCCAGGTCTTCCTGTCCTCTACCATCTTCTGGAGTCCATTTAAATTCACACCTACTGCTTCAGTGACTCCATCCAGCCATCTCATTCTCTGTCGTCCCCTTCTTCTATTGCCCTCAATCTTTCCCAGCATTAGGCTCTTCTCCAGTGAATCCTTCCTTCTCATTAGGTGGCCAAAGTATTTGAGTTTCAACTTCAGGATCTGGCCTTCTAAAGAGCAGTCGGGGTTGATCTCTTCTAGGACTGACCGGTTTGAACGCCTTGCAGTCCAAGGGACTCGCAGGAGTCTTCTCCAGCACCATAGTTCAAAGGCCTCAATTCTTTGGCGCTCAGCCTTTCTTATGGTCCAACTTTCACAGCCATACATTGCAACTGGGAAAACCATGGCCTGGACTATACGCACTTTTGTTGGCAGGGTGATGTCTCTGCTTTTTAGTATGCTGTCTAGATTTGCCATAGCTTTCCTCCCCAGGAGCAAGCGTCTTTTAATTTCTTGGCTGCAGTCCCCATCTGAGGTGATCTTGGAGCCCAGAAAAATAAAATCTGTCACTACCTCCATTTCTTCCCCATCTATTTGCCAGGAATTGAGAGGGCCGGATGCCATGATTTTGGTTTTCTTAATGTTGAGTTTCAAGCCAACTTTTGCACTCTCCTTCTTCACCCGCATCAAGAGGCTCTTTAGTTCCTCTTCACTTTCTGCCATTAGAGTGGTATCATCTGCATATCTTAGGTTGTTGATATTTCTCCCGGCAATCTTAATTCCAACTTTTGATTCATCTAGCCCTGCCTTTCTCATGATGTGCTCCGCATATAAGTTAAATAGGCAGGGTGACAGTATACAGCCTTGCCGGACTCCTTTTCCAATTTTGAACCAATCAGTGGTTCCGTGTTCGGTTCTCACTGTTGCTTCTTGACCCGCATATAGGTTTCTCAGGAGACAAATGAGATGGTCTG